ACTTTTGAGAAATTGGGGGAGCAGCTCTATGTTCAGTTTGATGCTAAATCATGGAAGTTGGGGGATTCTGGGAGCCGAAAGATGTTTGAGACTCTAGAAAGAGTGCAGAGAAGATCAACCAAGATGATTTGGGGACTGGAGGCTAAAACATATAAAGAACGGTTGCTGGAACTGGGCACGGCTAGTTTGATGAAAAGAAGGACCAGGGGAGACAGGATAGCAGCCTTCCAATACCTGGGGGGGCTACTGCGAAGAAGAGGAGGGGGTCAACCTATATTCCAAAGCACCTGAAGGCAGGACAAGAAGCAATGGATGGAATCTAAAATCAAGGAGAGAAGCAACCAAGATATAAGAAGAAATTTCCTGACGGAACAATTAATCAGTGGAATTAAGTTCCAGAAGTTTTGAATTCTCCAACACTGGAAGTCTTTAAAAAGAGACTGAACAACAATTTGTCTGAAATAGTTTCCTGCCTAAGCAGGGGGTTGGACTAGAAGACCTCCAAGGTCCCTTACAACTCTCTTATTCTATTCTATTCCTATTCTATTTTCTATTCTATATTCTATTCTATGTTCTATATTTTCTATTTACTCGATATTTTATATTCTATATTCTATTTTATTGTCTATATTTTATATTCTACTCTATATCTTATATTCTATATTATTTTCTATTTTCTATTCTACACTGTTCTATATATTCTACTCCATTCTATTTGCTATTTGCTATTTTATATTCTATTTTCTATTCTACTCTATATTTTCTATTCTATATTTTCTGTTCTATTTTCTATTCTATATTCTATTATTTTCTGTTTTCTATTCTACTCTATATGCTATGCTATGCTATTCAGGTGGCTGAGGTTGGAAAACGTTGCCTTAAGCTGTGAGCGGAACATAATTGTGGGGTGTTATGCATGAATTCAGACACTGATTGTGTTTATCCTTCGGGGTTTATTTAAGGATCTATCAGCAACCGGTTCCCACGAGAGCTTTCTTCAGTTTTACCTTGTTTTTCCTCTGCCTGACCACATTATGCAAACCCAGCTTGTTTGGTTGCTGCAGAGTTCTGTGCAATGCCCAAACCTTAAAATTAGGATAATTCAGTACAAGGGAATCCTCGACTTATGACGGCAATCGAGCCCCCAATTTTCTGTCCCTTAAACAAGACACTTCTCAAGTGAGCTTTTTGCCCCCGTTTTACGACTTTTTCTCGCCACGGTTGTGAAGCAAATCCGGTTTCCCTCTTGGCTTTGCTTGCCAGCCAGTCATAAAAAGCAGATTTGCAGGGACCTCTGGGATGCTGCAACCGTCATAAATATGAGTCAGTTGCCCCTTTGGATCCCCTGACGCGGTCGTAAGTGTGAAAAACGGCCACAAGTCCCTTTTGTGTTCCAGTGTTGTGGTAACTTAAGCGGACGGCCGCTTAAATGAACTGTTTGTAAGTCGAGGACTTACCCGGAGGTCCAAATGAAAAGCGATAAACCCTCGTTGGTCGCCGAGTTTGGAATCGGCTCGATCCACCGTGGCAATTCACCGAGAAAGGAGATTTCGGTTCCAAGCTTCTCTCCTCCCTCCTCCGCCAAGACCCACAACCTCCCGTTGTCACCTGAATGACAAACCTCGAGTTGTGATGGAGTGTCTGGAATCTCTGTACCGTATCTGGCTCATTATTTATTCTCTGGAACTTTCTGGCTTGCTTTTTTTTTTTAATTTGGCATTTTGGGCAAGCATGGGGCAGGTGCCAACCAGCAATCCTGCTTGGCAAGCGTGGCTTGGCACACGGCAAGGGCTCGGGGGTGGGTGGGAGGAGGAGGAGGGGGCAGTCCAGGAAAGCAATTTCCCAAAAGGACTGCCTCCCCCCCACACCATCCCCGGCGCCCCCTCTACCCCCCCAAGGATTAAATCTGGTATTTTAACCGTCCCATCGTTGCTACGGTTTGGGGAAAAGCTGACATGCCTCCTTCCTGAATTCCAGGACTGCGGATTTTAGAAAAAGAGGTTGAGCCATGGTTTCTCCCCTTCGGGGAAGGAGCATGTTTGATTAATAACAAGCTGAATTGCAGCATCTTAGCTTTTAATTCAGAGGTCTCCAAGCTTGGCAACTTTTAAGACTGGTGGACTTCGGCTTCCGGAATGCCTCAGCCAGCATAGCTTAAAAGACGCTGGCTGGGGAATTCTGGGAGTTGAAATCCATGCGTCTTTGGCTGGGGAATTCTGGGAGCTGGTCCAGCCATTTTAAAACATGCTGACTGGGGAATTCTGGGAGTTGAAATCCATGCGTCTTTGGCTGGGGAATTCTGGGAGCTGGTCCAGCCATTTTAAAAGATGCTGACTGGGGAATTCTGGGAGTTGAAGTCCATGCATCTTAACACATGCTGGCTGGGGAATTCTGGGAATTAATACAGCTGTCTTAAAACATGCTGGCTGAGGAATTAGAATAGAATAATGTAGAATAGAATGGAACGGAATAGAACAGAATAATATAGAATAGAATAGAACAGTATAATGTAGAGTAGAATAGAATAGAATAATATAGTAGGAAATAGAATAGACTAATGTAGAATAGAATAGAATAGAATAGAATAGAAGATCGAATAGGAAAGAATAGAATAGAAAATAGCATAGAATCGGAGTAGAATAGAATAGAAAATAGAATAGAATAGAATAACAAGAGCTGGAAGGGACCTTGTAGGTCATCTAGTCCAACCCCCTGCTCAAGCAGGAGACCCTGCACCATTTCTGACAGATGACAGTCCAGTCTCTTCTTGAAAGCTAAATTCGGTAGGTTTTCCTGCTAGAGCAGGGGGTTGGACTAGAGGACCTTCAAGGTCCCTTCCAACTCTTGTTATTCTATTCGGCGGCCGTGCGACGCGCTTGCATTGAAGCACTGAGTGTCGCTTGCAAGCGTGTCGGATAGCAGCTTCTGCTTAAGCGTATCATTTCTCATTTGCCTTAGTACTGACAGCTCCTCACCCCCAGGGCAGACTTGCAAGAGCGCCCTGGCAAGCTTGTTTATCTCTCTTTCCCCATCATCCCACCCCCCATCCCACCCCCCCACCTCTGTTTGCTTCCCAGAGTCCTGAACGTCTCATCACCTTCATAGCTGGCCAGGGAAGAGAGCCGTCCTTTGCTTTAATTAATGAGTCTCATGGCACGGATGAAATTAGACCTGTTTTTCTCTGCTGAAGCCAGCTTGCCCTCGTTGCAAAGTTTCTTTCACAAGGACAAGAGTTGTGTCTCTCAACCTTGGAACTTTTTTGAGAGGGGGTGGACTTCAACTCCCAGAATTCCCCAGCCAGCATGCATGGACTTCAA